CTCTTTGATTAATAGTTGTGGCATTTGAAGACTGGCTTAGCCATTCCCCTCTTAGACATAAACAAGACAATAAATGAGAGGTTGTGGGAAACCGAGTATATCTTCATTTTATTGGGTGTTTCTTGCATTTCTTACATTGGTATTGGCTCTTAGATTTTTATTGTGGTATTTGGAATACTTTAATGTTGGTGCCTTTATACAGAGGGTGCCAAGAAATGTACACATTTTAAGAAAGGAAGAAACTATTAAAATTGTAATACAACGATTGACGCTAGCATTCATTTGATTAATACCACCTTTTGAGCAAATGTCATAACTACACATTGCTACTGTAATTCAATTCAGCTTCGAAAAGTAATACTCATACATAGATAACATCTTTTAAAATGTGTGCATTTTTTTGGCACCCCCGGTGTATAGACCATCCACGTGTCATTCATTCAGATATATTGAATAGTAGCTACACAATGCCAGATAATGGGAATATGAATGAATAATTCAGTCTCTGTGTTCAAGCTGCTTCTAGACTGTCAGGACAGATGAAATTAATAAACCAGAAGTTAGAATACGGTGTTAAGTACAATGATAGAGGTATGCACAATTTCCTATTGAATAAGAAGGGTACTTCATCCTGACTCAGGAATTTTACCTTGGGAGGAGGTGCTTTTTTTTTTAAAGATTTTTATTGGGGAATTGGGGGAAGGGGAACAGACAAGTTGCTGTCCTTTTTCTTTAGTCTAGTTGTGGAGAACGTTGCTTCACTGGCCCAAGTTGGCACCATCATTGCGCTCTTCCCGGGCGAGGCAGATCAGTTGCTGGCTTCTGGACAGCTGCTCACAGCGGTTGCTGGCCACCCACGCTGGCTGCTGGCTACACACGGTAGCCCATGGCAACCCACTGCTGTGGGGCTGCAGCCTACACCACCGGCGACTCACGGCAGCCCAGCTCCAGGTTGAGCTGTTGTTCAGCATCTTAGATGTAGAGGGCAGTGTCACTGGCTCTCATATGTGGGATCCGAACCAGGGCCCTCTGACATCCTAAGCCAGCTCTTAACCAACGCGCCACTAGGCCAGCCCAGGAGGTGCTCTTTGGAGTTAAGCCTTTAAATAGAAAAGGAATTAATCAGACAAAGCAGGTAGCAGTGGTAGGAAATTTTAAGTGCGTGGAAAAATTAACTGATACAGGAATTATTGTCCAATTTCAGATATCGTGTACTTGCTGCATCTCAGTAAAACCCCCGCCCTGATGGCTGCTACTTAGTTGGTATTTCAAGAATATTAACTAATTTTGATGTTGCTTAATTAAATCTGTTGTAAGAATAATAACAGTAGTTTATTCTAAATCCATGAAAACACAGAATAAGTTGGGTTTTTGAGCATTCTCAATTTTTAAAATACTTGTAATTTTAATTTTAAAAGATGGAAATAAGTTGAAAGTCCAAGTTGAACTTATTCAGTCCTTTTAAGGTAACATTATTTCTGGTTGTTTTGGAGCCAAACTTACTTAATTTTAGGTTGGTTGTAAAGATTTTATACATCAGGAAGGAACCTTTTGAAGTCATTTTTACTCCATTTATTAATCTGTAAATGGATTTGGACTAGAGAAGGTCCCTTTCAGATCCAAAATCCAGTGATTAAATTTCAGGTCTCAGCAATGATATTTATAAGTTGTTTTAAAAGCTCTCAGAGGAAAGGGTCCACCTTCCCTCTAGAAATTTTCTCCTTATGCTACCTACTCAAATCACCTACCCATAGCATGATTTATGCCCCCCTCCCCTTCCTCTTTTGGCCTTGTTTCTGTAGAGTGATTGATGGACCCCCCAAGATACATTGAGACTCAGATGTTCATCTCTTGAAAAATAATGTACCTGAATCTTGACATTTAGAAATTATTTTCCCACGGGATATTCCTTTTTTTATACAATAATTAGATTAATTGGGGTAACTGGTTAATAACTTTATATAAAGTTTCAGGTATGCACCTTTCTAGTAGAGCATCTGTATACTCCATTGTGTGCTCACCACCTAAAATCTTTCTGTCACCATGAGCTATTTCTTGTATATAATCTTAGAATATTGAGTTTAAAGTATGTCTGTTTTCTGAATCGGCGATTATTTGGTTTATTAGTAACTTTGGGGGTAAATATTTGCTCAAAATTGATGTTTCCCTGTCTTACTCAATGCCTTTGTTAGTGTTCTGTTCTTACACTTCCATCCGAAGAACATAATTCACTAAAGCTAAAAAAAATTGCTAATTTTTTAATCTCCAGTTGGCAATGTTTCTAATGTATTGGTTTATCTGACATGTTGATTCTGTTTTCTAATCTACTTTTAATATTACGGTAGTAAAGTAATAGATTTAGTAGCAGTTTCATATGCAGAATCCTCTTCTTATTTTTCTCAGTTGTAGATCCTTTTTCTGTCTCTTAAAGGAAGATTGTGTAGTAGCTGTTAGCCACACAGTGAATCATTGATTAATTTAAAAGAACTCTAGACAGTGGTGACTGCCCTGAAAGAGGGAAATTCTGGGTATACTTTGTCCACTTTTCATCTTTTTTTAAAAGCTATGGCTTCTTCCTTCTTTGTTTAGAGGTTTTTTTTTCTTTACCATCTCAATGTGCACTAACATTTAAACTTTTTCTTAGTTAGCTAAAGTGTAAGTCTTTTTCCTTTTTCCCGTTAGGATTCTACTTGCAAAACAAGTAAAATAGATTTTATAGACTGGGGTAACTAGTTGTATTTCATGAATAACTTTATCAAAACTCTTACATCAGTCTTGTCATAGTCCAACTAGCAATTCATACTATTACTGCATTCCTTCCTTGCACACCCCTCCCCTTTAGAAAGTAGGTTTTCCTAAAATTGTTTTGAAATCACCAAATTTTTATCTTCTGCAGATAATATCACCTACTGCATTATTTTTGGCTGCAAAAGTGGAAGAACAAGCTCGAAAACTTGAACATGTTATCAAAGTAGCACATGCTTGTCTTCACCCCCTAGAGCCACTGCTGGATACTAAATGTGATGTATGTAAAGATGGTTTTTTTTTGTTTTTTCTTTATGAGTTTGAAACCTTTTCATTATTTGGAACCAGTAAAAACAATTCATTTAGCGTTGTCTTCCAAATGGTGCTTATTTTTTTTACCACTTAGGAATTAATGTGGCAGAAACATATTTCATATGTTTATGAACTATAATGTCATTCTGAATCATGTAAGGCTTTGATTCAAAGGTACTTTCTGTTTCACATTTTTGTTGTTTTTCCTCACAGCAAACCTGTGATATATATAGAGTGTAAATCTATCACCTTCATTGTTTGGGTGTATTCAAGACCAGAGATAAATAAACTGTCAGCAAATAAAGGAATAAGAAAACCTTTGGATTTACCTCCCAACCAGTAATTAGCCTTTTGCTTACTGCTACTTACCTCTCTGATACATAAAAATACATTTTACTTTGGTTTCATGAGTGGCATTTTTAAAATATATTTTAATTTTCCTAAAGAGTAATACTAGTTTGCAAACAACTTGTTCATCATCAACATTTTAATAGTTCTTTTGGAAAACACTATTTTAAATGTTCTGACATCTTAAAACAAGCTAGAATTCTGTACCTTTAAAATCATTTTTTTGTCATTCTTACTATAGGTGAATTACTTTATCAGGAACTTTTAACTACTCAGTGACTACCAGATTATATTTATTCATTTTTTATTTGAGTTGAGTTTAAGGTCCAGATTAAGTATATCTGATTTTATTAATGACAAGTTTTATCCTAGATGTTGGCTTTAAGGGGGTAAAATATTAATGTAGCCTTTCAATAATAAAGAATTGTAGTGTCTGCTAACTTTACAAATTCATAATTATTTCTTATGAATACTTAGGGTATTCTTCAAAGAATAGAAATCTGTGTTTTAAAATCAGCTCAGTGACCTTTTCAGAATGGGGCATAAATAAAATTAAAGGTGCTTTCACTCTCTGAGTTTAGCAATATGTCCTTTCATAAGTGAATATTTATATATAATACGTTTTCTTAACACCGTAGTCAATTGTCATCATCTAAGAATGAGATGCAGAAATTTTTTCATGACTTTTATTTCCAGAGTAATTGCAGTGGGGGAATAATGTGTTGAACTTGAAGGAGAAGGTTGTCTACTTATGTCCCCATCCATGTATGATACACTATTTTGATACTTTGTACCTAAAATTTTCTCTTTTAATCTAGAGATTATAGGGTTTGTTTTAATTTTATTTTGTCTTTTCTGAAGAGAGGAAGTTAATTATAAAAATAACTCACTGTGACTGTCAAGGAATTACACGTGAAGTATCTTAGATTAAGTTGATAAGCCTTATCTTTAAACACAGGTTAGAATTTGATGTTCTTACCTGGGTTGGTGCTTCCTATCCTTAATGTTCTTGAAGTACCATAATACCGCAATAAAGTTTTACATTACAAACTGAAGATCTCTTTTGCTCAATTAACCCACCCCCTCTTATATTACTATATTTAGGGTTTTTTGGGGGGTTTTTTGGCGGTGATGGTGGGGTGTTGTTTTTTTGTTTCTTTGTTTTAGTTTTTGCTTTGTTTACATTTCCTATATTATTGGGTTGTCAGAAAAGTCATGACACATTTTTGCAACGAAAAACAGAAAAAACACATCATGACTTTTCTGACAATCCAATAGAAGTAATTCAATTTAGACTTGTCCCAGAATATAGGTTTTTCTCTAGCACCCTCAATTTATTTCCTAAGGGAGTAAATATTAATGTAGCCTTCAGTAATAGTGAATTGTAGTGTCTGCAAATTCTTTATGAATTCAGAATTATTTCTTATGAATGCTTGGGGTATTGTTCAAATAATAGAAATTTATGTTTTAAAATTACCTCAGTGACCTTTTCAAAATAGGGCACAAATAAAATAGTCTAGTAGTACTATGTTTGTCTTAAGCATTTTAATATTATTACTTTTACCTGGCAGGCTTACCTTCAACAAACTCAAGAACTGGTTTTACTTGAAACCATAATGCTACAAACCCTAGGTATGTACTTATGTCATTTATTATTTTGTTTGTGTGCTTCGGTGCAGCACAGTGAGTCCTCACTTAATGTCAACAGGTTCTGCAACTTAAAGTGAAACAACAAATAGCAAAACTAATTTTGCTGTAGGCTAATTGATACAAACAAGCGTTAAGTTCCTATGTTATAACAAATGATTTTGAACAAAATGACATTATATGAAGACCTCTGTATTCTAAATAAAGGAAAATAATTTTGTAGTAATTTTATCATTGAAGAAAATTTCATTTAAAGCGAAGCTTGGGGCTAGAATATTATTGCCTGGTTATAAAGAAACCATTTTTTTTATTTACTTTTGTAATTTAATTGAATGATAAATATAGCCTTCAGTGTGATTTTTATGTTTTCAGGTAATTGAGACACTATGCTTCATTCTGGATTTGCTTTGGAGAATAAAATATTCCTTTAAGGCTGTTGCATGTGATTGTAATGTGTACAAACACAGCAGTTCTCCTACAGCTTATAGTCAGTATTTAATAAATTTATCACATCATTCTTAATGATATAATAGTTACTTAAATGTTGATCACCCTTTTCTAAAAGTTTTATTGTCTGCAAAGTTTGTGCAACTTAAATGATTGCTAAAGATCATTTATTCTAATCTTTCATTTCACTGATGAGGAAATTGAAGTATCTCTGGAAGAACATGGGCTTTATGGAGGAAGATAAATTTGTAGGCCCCTGACTTGTTTTGTAAACTTGGGCAAAGTTCCTTTACCTTTCGTACCTCTATTTTGTGTACGTGAGGTGAAATAATAATGCCTGCCTTGACATTGTGAATTTGAGGATGAAAGATAATGTAGCAAGAAATTTGCCACATAGTGTGTGTGTGTGTGTGTGTGTGTGTGTGTGTGTGTGTGTGTTATAAATAATCATTATTTATTATGGTAGTTAATTTTATTCATTACTCCATTCCCAAATATTGAATAGAAGTGTAACTTCCCATCATGACAGATTCTTTTTATTACAAAAGTAGCTTGTTTGAAATATATATCACTTGTTTGAAGTTTTTATAGGATAAAAAGATAAAAAATAAAACAGAATTTTCTCATTCCCTCCAAATCCAGTGATTTAGCATGTTATTGTTTTATAATGTAAAATTACATAAATATGAAAATTACAAATTTATATAATGAAAGTTGAAAAGAAAAATTATATTATGTGAAAACAATAGTTATTTTATTTAAAATCATTGTATCATATTTGTATTGTTTATGACAGATTCTTAAGCACAGAGAATGAATAGCATTATTTTAACAGGAACACTAGAATTTACAAAATATTCCTCTTTGACTTTCTTTAAAGTATGATTGTGCAGGTTTAATTACAGTAGAAATATAAATAGACCATACGATAACTTTATAAATCTAGATTATCTGTGTATTAGGTGTTACTTCATTTACTGCTTCTGAAGGCACTAGATGTGACCTCCACTTGTTTTATAAAGGAAAAACCACAGCCCTGCCTAAGCGTTCATTGAACATTGAAAGCTTTTCAACCTTATGTCTTTGGTTTTAGAAACAGCGATTTAATGACTCTTGAGGCCTATAAGATTTACTTACCTTTATTTTATTATTAATGAAATGTAGTTATGTGCTGGCTGGAACCCTTTAATCTAAGGCATACTAAGAAAATAAAGGTCATTTAAAAGGTCATTTCTTACACTGTGGCCCAGAGGATATTTATGAAAAATGTTCTTTTCATATCTTCTAAAAGAAAGAGTTGAAATACACTTAAATATATTACATAGTTGAATCCCCTGCTTAAACTGCTGTGGGGCAAGCTTAATAACTGTACTTGTCGTGATTTTAGTTTGTTTTTAACTTGAGGATAATCTCAAACTAATTGTAATTCAAATTTTTGCATGACTATTACTCCCTGACCTATAAATAATTTTGATATCAGTTTTCATAATTGGAACATTGTTTTTGAGAGGAATTATTTTCTCATCATCAAAGGTAAAATGAGCATGTTACTGATGAGAAAATAACTTTGGATTTTTTAATAATGAAAAATATATTACACATTTATGGTTGTTTGATGAATGGCATCTCTGAGGCAAGTATTGTAGTGGTGATTGGGAAAAAAAGTGTTTTTCATTTCAGGTTTTGAGATCACCATTGAGCACCCACACACAGATGTGGTGAAATGTACCCAGTTAGTAAGAGGTAAGTGATCTGTAAAACTTTTAAGTACAGTATTAATGTTTTTTATTGTCTATCATTGATTTGAATGCTATTTTGCTCTTCTAGCCTTTTTGAATTTTATTAAAATGGGGGAAATGTCATTTTGAAGCATTACTTTTTAGTGTTGTACATCTACCTATTTATTTACTTATATTTGTGGTTCCAGCAGTCAATTAGCTTCTTTAAACTTAGGCGAGTCTCATTCACTGAAAAATTGGAGGGCTTCCAAGTATTCTCTCTCTACCTCTCCATTGTGCTATGCCCGTCCTGTTTCAGTTACTATTTAAGATGTAGGCCGTTAACACACAAGTACAGAAAATAATTTTAATTTTTTATTTATGTCAAATTTTCATTGACTTCTTGAAAAGATTACAGTATAAGAATTTGGAGCTGAGCCTCAAATTTTTCATGTAAAAATTGCCTTTCTTAGCAGATTTGTCACTTTTGGAGATGTTTTGCCTGTGTTCATTTGAACAAAATTGATTTGATATATTTTTCACAGTTTTTTAGCATTACTAAAAATTGCTTCCTTTTTATGTATAATGGAGAAATAATTACATAACATGGTAGCATACAGTGTGTGATGTGCCTGTTAAACCTTTTATAAACAGGAGTAGAAAGTTTTTGTATTTTTTGCTCTACTGCTTTAAAGCATGTGGTATTTTCCCGTTCTTGTTAATGAATCCTATGTATCTGTTGTATCCCTAGAAATATTTTTTACACAGTTGCGTGTTGTTATACTACATCTTACTTTTCTACTTTCCTGTTTCCCATTGAAATGTTATGTACTAATAGCAACCACTTAGAACCTTTCATGTGCTTTTTTCTGTTGTTTCCTTTTTGAAAATGAAATTTTGCAGTTTCATTCTTTTACCACCAGACATTTTTTGGTTTACTTTAACAAAATGAGTAAGACTTTTGAAGGCCTTGTTTTATTTTTTAGTGTTTATCTAAATATTCTCACATTTTATTCATTCTAAATTGTATTCATTTTATACCTAGGTAGGATTTTTATTATGTTATGGCTACATTAAAAAAACAAACAACCTGTTGAATACCACATTGTTATTTGTTAAGAACTGGACTTCTGGAAATGCCATTTGTATTTTTTAGATCCTAATAGCACATGTTATCTATCATTTGTAAACTAGAGCATATGTATAGTTCCTGTTCTTGGTGGTATGTGAATATATCTCATAGCACATTCTCATCCCCAGGATTACAGTGTAGCATAGAATTGTATAGGTAACTAGTGTAAATGTTGAATTAAGAAAAAAGAAGTTAATGTAGTAGTTCTGTTTTCCTGAAAACTTGAAAGGGTAAACTGTTCTGTTAGAATAATGGAGAGCCATATAATTTGTTTTAAATTGAGCCTAATGAAGGAAGATATTGATATAGGTTTAAATGTGTACTTTATTTTAATAACAATGAAACTGGATTCATCTTAGTACTATTGAGAAATTTTAGCTTCTTTTAAATCTTGTCACAATTTAATATTTTTGTACATGTTCTATATCTAAAGATGCTAGAGGCATAAAAACCATTCGTTTGCAAAATTGAATAGTAAATTTTAAAACATTGACAAAAACTACAAATTTTAATCTCATCCAAAGCAAAGTATTTAAATATGATTTTTATTGTTAATGTTTAAAGTGTGACTGATTTTTAAATTTTAGAACAGATCATATATGTTTAACCTCATTTTGTCTAACATTTCAAGTAACTATAGTATTAACTCCATTTAAAAAATATTCTTTCGTGTTTGGTGTCTTTCTCTGCTCTGTTACAACTTTAAACTAGCAAAATAACATTTTCCCTACATTCTTCCTCTGTTGCACAATGAATGTTAATGTGTTAATGAATTTAGATATATTCTGAGATGAAAACTGCTATGGCAATTTAAAATTTTTACTTTCTTCTCTACATGTTTTGAGTCTTTTGTGGGAGGAGGGTAAATGGTTTGGTTTCTTTAAAGTCCTCCCCCACCCCCAAGAGAAAATTGGTTTTATGCTACTTTGCTGCAGAATTGGCTAATGTCATTTTACAGGGACCTTTCACTTCTGTGATTTCTCCTTCCCTCCCCACCAGGAAAGAATGCCATACTTAAGTCATACTGCCTCCAAGACATCTGATGCTTTGACACTCTTCCTTAGCACAACTCTGCTAAGCCCAAATCCCTTTTTGTAAACCTTTATGTTATGATTCACATGGGGCAGCAGGGCTTACAGGTGCTACGAGTAAAACTAGGAGGGGGCAAGGAATTTGAGGCCTCTTAGAGAGGGGTGAGTTGAGGGGAACTGATCCTAGAGCAGAGGGGAAAAGTATGTCAGTGATTATAAATGTAATTGTAAGGGGTGGGGTAAAACTAGCAAAGGCATCCCTGTTGGGAAGAATAAGAAGCAGAAGGGAGCCGTGGGACTGTTTTCAATTTCAATGTCTTAATTTCTATTTCAATTTTTGCTTTTCTGTTGCGGACCAGTGTTGAAGCATCCTGATTCCCTCTAGAGTACTCTCATTATTTCTAAAGTTGTCATTGATTAGATTCTCTAATTTAAAAAAAATACAGTGGAGTTTTCTATATCTATGTCATTATGATGTTTCTAGGTTGTTTATTCTCTGTTGATGCTTAGCATGATAAAAAACAGAGCCATTGCGGCTCTCTTGAGTTTGGGGTGGGTGGGGGTTTGTTTTGTTTTCTTTTGATGGAAGTACTTAAACCAATTTAAATATGATGATTGAGGATTAAGTCTGGCAGGCAACTTTTTGTATTTTGTATTTAGACTTCAAAATCTTTTCTTCTTCTTCTTCTTTTTTTTTTAAATCCAGGAGAATACTTTATTGCAACTTTTAGCTGACTAGATGCTTAACTTAGTAACAAGTTTAGCCCTTGTAACTGGCTAGCTAAAAGCAAATCGGCTTGTTTCTCAGATCTTTGGGGGATAGCAAGAAACATTTGAGTGAATGTTGTTGAAGATTTTCAGTAGTATAGAAAATGATGGCGCTCTTGTGATATTTGTAAGTAGTAAGTAAAATTTACTTTTTGTGTACACATCTTTGAAGTTTTTGTTGTGTTGAGAACTTTTTGATGGTAGCATGTTAAAGCTGATAGTATTGTCTTCGTGTTTTTTTTTTCTTACAGCAAGCAAGGATTTGGCACAGACATCCTATTTCATGGCTACCAACAGGTTGTTATCCTGACCCTCTTTGTTGCACTGTTGTAGCACACTATAGCTTCCTTTAATGCAGGGCCCCCTCAATGTGTCTCTACCCTTGTTGCAACAGGAGACTGGACCATCTACTGTGGTGGTACCTTCCTGTCTGCTTTGCGGTGTATTGTACAAGGGACTTTGGGCACAGAGGGGTTAAATGCACAATGTGAAGTGTAGTGTTGCTTTCTGATGACATATTCTCGATTTGTGAGTGCATAAGTCTAAAATTGGTAGCCTGAATAGCAGCTAAAGATTACAAAGAGCTAAACTTAACGTAGAAATTCGAGCAACTTGGTAAGTATAAAGCTATTTCTAGTTTACAATTATAGTTAAATGACAATTTTTAAAATTTCACATTGATCCAATCTTAACTTTAATCATAAAAGTCTTTTTTAATAAATAAAATTTATATAACTTGGGGTTTTTTTCCAGATAACACCCACTAGTAGTAAATTAGAAGTAGTCAAGTCCTATCAGTGCCTGGATTTGCATAAGTACAATTTTTACTTGAAAAAATTTACTTCCTTTTCAGTTTATATAAACAAAAAATGGTGTGGGTTGTGGTTGATCAATAAACATTTTCATCAATTCTGAAACTGAAGTGGAACAATAGTTTTTAAAAGCCTTTAGTATTATCTAATATAAAATTCTGTTCTGTATTGATTATATTAATGATTTAAATTTGTTTTTTGGGTCATTGAGAAGGGGCCCAAACAGCTTTGTTTGATCCTTAATTTCTTGTGACACTGTTAAGTTTTATTTAAAACTTTAGATTGGCAAATATCAATATATTTTCTTAGATATATGTTGGGATTTAACCTCTATCCCTAGGAATTCTGAAAAGCAGGAAAAAAAACACTTAAATTTAAAACTTTGGTTAGAAAAGCCTAGTTGTGTGACATGTTACAGGCCCAGTATAATAGAAGGATAAGGATAGTATTTCTGTAGTATTTAGCAACATTGAGACTTGAAGCCGTTGAGTAAAAGGTAAGTTTTCTCTATGGCTTTGCTGAAAAGAAGACAGTTTACATAGATGAGTGTTAAATTGTCTTTGACTTACTTGAAAATTATGTTTAAGCCACATCAAATGGTAGAATCCCTGATTATAATACAATGTTGAAATTACGTTGTCAATTTTATAGTCTTCTGCTTTTTCTTTACTTTTTTGACATGAATATTACCACCCAAAAAAAAGCCACACAAAATAATTAAAGGTGATATACTTGTATATAGTGATTATTTGAAATATAAGTATATTAAGTATACCTTATCCTTTTATAAAGAAATAAAATACTTTGAATTTAGATATAAAAGCAAATTTTAGAAATATTAATATATTAGTATTAATAAAATATTAATAAAATACTCTGGGGAGTGTTCATAATCTATATAGGGTTTTTAGTACTAGAATTTTATAACTATAAGTGTTAGCTTTTAATTTAATAAAATAAGGTTTTGTACTCTAGACTTACAGAAGAAAACCTTCATAATTCTGTTTTTGCTTTAATCTTACTGGTAAATGTTTGGTTTTTTTGTTTGTTTGTTTTACATATTTGAATTTATATGGCTCTTCATTTTCAAACCTGCTCCACAACAGTCTACATCTTACAACCTTCTGTCTTCAGTACAAACCAACAGTGATAGCATGTGTATGCATTCATTTGGCTTGCAAATGGTCCAATTGGGAGATTCCTGTGTCAACTGATGGAAAACATTGGTGGGAATATGTGGATCCTACAGTTACTTTAGAATTACTAGATGGTAAGTAGAGAACATTTTTATTTTTTACATTAAAAATATATTTTTTTGTTTTGGGGATATTCTGTCTACTTCTGCATAGGATTGAAAACTAGGGAATCCCATATACTCATGAGATTCACTATGAACAGTCATCAATTCTGGCCAATCCAACATCCTCCTTTCCCCCGTAGTTATTTTGATGCTAATCTCAGATATCACTTCATTTATTAGTATTTCAGTTTCTATTTCAAAAGATAAAGACTTTAAAAATATAACTATAATTCCATTTTAACAATTTGGTAATAGAATTTAAAAGTAAATTACATGATTAAATGAACAGGATGAAAATAAGGATTCATTAACCTGAAGAAAAAAATTGAACATATATTCACCACCACTGAATATCTAAAGCCCTTTCAGGATTTTTCAGATTTTAAAGTGTACTAATTCTGTTGAGTTTAAAATGTGTAGACTCAGTCAGGTATTAACTTATTATAGAAGATGTGAAGCAATGAGCCAAAGGTATTTTCCAGCTAACATTCCTTACTCTGTAGTTCTACTGATAAAGCGTGTCATTGTTGCCTTACATTGATAAATGTGAATCGACAAGGTTAATTGGGGGTTCAAGTACTATATAGATTGTGAACCTAGAATTTGAGGGTCTCCTGATAAGAAATTTCTCTGGCTGAGAAATCAGAGAAGCTGGCCAGAGGTAGGAGATTCTTGGGAATTGAGACATTTTAACCTGATACTCTAGATTTCAGAAAGGAAATAGATAAATAACACTTACCCAACAGATACACCTAAATTGGTATGTTAGGTTTCCAGCTAATTCTGTATGTGGACTTTCCCCAACTCCCTTCACAAAATTGAAGCTAATGGGAAAATAGTATTTACTTCCCCAACTCCCTTCACAAAATTGAAGCTAATGGGAAAATAGTATTTACATCTGTTGCTACTGCGGACATGTATCACATAAAGTGAGAAATCTCTGTAGCTTTGGAATGTGGTCTTCCGATAAAACCTTGGATGTTTCCGATAAAACCTTGGATGTTTCTTCACCCTTTTCTGTGAAGAGCTAAATAGTAACTATTTTAGAGTGTATGGGCTGTGCTGTCTATGCAACTACACAGCTCTGCCACTGTAGCTGGAAAGTAGTCAGGCAATTTGTAAATGACTGGGTGTGGCTGTGTTCCAGTAAAACTTTGTTTACAAAAATGGGATGCAGGTCATATTTGGTTCACTGGCCATTTTGCCTACCCTTTTGGTAAAATATGCTTCTTTTTGTTAGATCTCTTGATTTTCTGATTCTTTTTCTCTGAAAACTTCCTCCCAGAGTATATATATTGTACTATATTAATTTCTGCCACATGATTATGCTCTTTTCCTTACATTATGAGAGGGTTTTTCAAGTTTGTCCAGAGGGGAAGGACATCTTTAGTGACCAGAAATGACATCTAAAAACCGGTGTGGTGGTGTGTGTGTGTGTGGGGGGGGGTCCCTGTTGTGCCTATCTTTGGAACTTCTTTTGAATATTTAAGGTTTGTAGTTGAAAAGTTTACTGTAAAAGAAATAAAAAAGTACTGTTTTTACAGAATTAAATTTATTGGAACATACTGGTAGTAAGTTTTGAGGTTATAAACAAAAGTGTAATTTGGCTTGTATATGTAATGTGAGGTATTAATGTAATTCATACATTAAAGCAAAATTTAACAGCAAAAAAAAGATTTAAAAAATGGGGGGGGGTCTTTTTTTCTTCTGTGACTTCAAGATTAGGTATCTATGCCACTGTCAGCAGTCAGTAGATAAAGTAGGCATAATCTTAATAAAAATAGTTATATACATGGTACTAAAATAAAGCTCACTGAAAAAAGTAATTTGCCTTTTCTCCTGCTCTTAAGTTATAGGTAAAGTTGGGTTGTTTTTATTTTTCTTGAAAAAACAGAGGTCACCTAAAAACCCTCTGCTTCTACTCTGAAAGGGCTCAAGTCCATTATTCATTTGGAAAGCCACTGAATTGGAATCTTGGACACAACATATTAAAAATATCTACATATTACACCTGAAACTAATTTTTAAAATCTACATATTATGTAGTAGCCTTTTCTGCTTTGATTACAAAAAAAAAAGGAGTAACAAAATTTAAGAAATATGAGAATTTTAACATGGTTTCTAAAGCATCAGTATATACTAAAACAATTCATTTAATGACTGTTCCAATAATAACATTTGCTTGTACTTGGCCTGCCTGTAAGTTTTGTTTGTTTGTTTTTTGGGGGTTTTTTATGATTAATAGCAAACCCTCATGTATGTTTTTTATATTTTGCATTTCTTCTGTATATTAGCTTTGAGGGAAAGAGGCCTCTATTTTAAATATCAGACGTGTAGTTAAGTTTTTGTGCATGTAGTTAATTACTTAAATTAGTAGTGATTATTTGACAGATTCTTTTGTTCTCCACTATAAAATTTAAGAGTAGGATACTTGAGAATGGAAAACCAAAGCTTATATTTTGTTTCAGCTGAGTACCAGGTTTTGAACCAGAAATTTTTTATTTATTTATTTTTTAAGCTGAGCCATCCTGCTACCTGTTCGCAGCTCAGCGGCAGCTAAGCTCGAGCCGAGAGTTGAACCACTGTTGCTCAGAGCTTGCACTCTTGAGCGAGCTCTTAACCAGCTGAGCCACTCGGCCAGCCCTGAACCAGAAATTTTATATGCATTTAATCTTTCACAACCAAGCTATTAAAGTAATTGAGTCAAACAATTTCTTGTTAATGTTGTGCCCCAAAGTATTATTTATCTGCTAGATTTATCAGTGTCCAAGGAGAAAAGAAGTCTTGTTCCAAATGAGCAGGTGGTAGTCTAGGCATTAGATTTTTTTCATCCTAACTGGATCAAAAGCTCATGAAACTTGAGAAGGAGTTAGTTGTCACAGCTTGTGAACACATTGGTCTGGTGGTGCCAAGATTAATACTAATACTTGCCAATAACTATATAAAGAACACTATTTTGGGGTAGAAAACTATAATTCATTACTACACCACTTTGGAAAAGTGGATCATCTCATTTTAATCCTAAATTTAAGGAAGAAAAATCATGTTAAAAATATGACCAGGGTGGTTCATTAACAACGTAATAGTGTTGATTGCCAGAAAGTTATGATATAGGTGGAGGAATTTTTTTCATTTAACTTCAAAATAATTCTGAAATTAAAGAAATTGCAAAATTGTACAGATATCCTGTATACGCTTCACCCACTTTCTCTATAAACATTTTATATATAATAATACATGATTATCAAAACCAGGAAATTAATATTGGTATAATACTGTTAGCCAAATTACAGGTTTTACGCAGATTTCTCCAGTTTTTCTGTTGTAGGAATCCCACATTCCATTTGGTTGATGTGCCTCTTAATGTCTTCCAATCTATGACAGTTTTTCAGTCTTTCGTTTTCTTTCATGTCCTTGACACTTTGAAGAATAATAGCTGTTTTATAGAATGTTCTTCAGTTGAAGTTTAGTGTTTTCCCATTATTAGATTGAAATTACACAGTTTTGGCCATAATATCACAGAAATGGTTGTTCCCTACTCAGTACATCCTGTCACGGGGGGGGGGGGTACATCATGTTGACATGTCTTATGGATAGCTATGATCCCTTGGTTAAAGTGGTATCTGCTGGTTTCTCCATTGTTAAGTTACTGTTTTTCTCTTTGCATTTATTAATATCTTGAAGAAGATATGCTGGGATTATACAAATATCCTTTTTTCCTCTCAAACTTTTGCCCACTAATTTTAAAAAAACGTATTGATGGATCTTGCCTGCAACAACAATTATTACTGTGGTGTTTGCCTAAAAGAGATTTTCTGTTTGGGGGGAATTTTTTTTAATGCTACTAAATTTCTGAGTAAGCATGTAAAATCAGGCATGGGGTGAGTGGGTGATTTTCTTTTTGTAAAGGCTTCATCTTTAAAAATACTTGTTCAGAGCTGTGTCTACTTCTGTATATGCCAAAGTTGAACAGGAGGGTGATAGTGAAGTAGATGAACTCTTGAGGTCCCTTTTTAATATTGCCCACTTGGGAGAAATTTAAATCCTACAGGCACCATCTAAATTATACATTTAAATTTTATTTTTAGAGCTAACACATGAGTTTCTACAAATATTGGAGAAAACACCTAGTAGGTTGAAGAGGATTCGAAACTGGAGGGTAAGAGAATTGGTAGGGTTTAATGGAATATCAATTTGTCATTTATCTAATAATTATGTAGCTAACTAGTTTGAATTTTTGTCGTTAAATATTCTTATTTCCAGTATTCCTAAATAATTACAGTGTATCAGAAGCTACATACACTCATAGTTTATTCAACTACTATATCCAATGGATTTCGCAAAGTATTTTATAAGTTTCTTGTTTAATTCCACAATGATGGAAATATTCTGCTCGTTTTGCAAATGGGGAAATTGAAGCCTAGACGAGTTAAATTTCTCAAATGGCTGGGCTAGGGTTTAACCTGGTTCATTCAGCTCTATAGCCATCTTTTGTGCCTATAAATAAAACATGTATTTACTGGCAATATAAAGGCTTGAATCCCAGGTGATTTTATTTCCATATATTTCATATAGAATTTTTATAAGCAAAGAAATGTGTATTAAATTTCTGTGCTGTCATTGCTTCTTTTGTGTTTTATTTCAATAGGCTAATCAGGCGGCTAGGAAACCAAAAGTAGATGGACAAGTATCAGAAACACCACTTCTTGGTTCATCTTTGGTCCATAATTCCATTTTAGTAGATAGCGTTACTGGTGTGCCTACAAACCCAAGTTTTCAGAAACCATCTACATCAGCATTCCCTGCACCAGTACCCTTAAATTCAGGAAATATTTCTGTTCAAGACAGCCATACATCTGATAATTTGTCAGTGCTAGCAACAGGAATGCCAACTTCCTCATACAGTTTGTCGTCACACCAAGAATGGCCTCAACATCAAGAATCAGCAAGGACAGAACAGATATATTCACAGAAACAGGAGACATCTTTGTCTGGTAGCCAGTACAACATCAGCTTCCAGCAGGGACCTTCTATATCAGTGCATTCAGGATTACATCACAGACCTGACAAAATTGCTGAGCACTCTTCTGTTAAGCAAGAATATACTCATAAAGCAGGAAGCAGTAAACACCATGGACCCATTTCTGCTACCCCTGGAGTCATTCCTCAAAAAATGTCTTTAGATAAATACAGAGAAAAACGTAAGCTAGAAACGCTTGATCTGGATGTCAGGGATCATT